GAGGATTTATAAAAGAATTTCAGGAAATAGGTCAAGCACAACTCTATTAAGATTGTAACTATCGTAACTGGTCCCTAACCCTCGGCCCGTACCGGGTCTGGCTACACACGTACACGGGACCCCGCACCTGTCTCACCGGGCAACACAGTGAGACCGACCGCTACTCAATATTTCAACATTTTCCCGATAAAAACTACAAAAATAAACATGAAAGTGGTACTACTAGATGTAACAACATTTCATCTCCTAATTGTGGGGTAAAATTGACTGAGAACAATTAAATGCAACTTCTGGCACAACATGTACACTCGCCAAGTGCTGACACGAGCGATGATTGACAGTTCAGTCAGACGGTCAGCCGCCGTCATTTTCAACATTTTCTCGATAAATTCTGAGGAAAAATATTTAAAAGCACCACTATTAGATGTCACAACATTTTGTTTGGTGATTCTGAGGCAAACTTGAGGGAAGAAATTAATTTGTCTTGAAATTTTGACCAACGATTACATGTGGCTACTTCTCCCACCGGGTAGTGCCAACACACGGGACACCCCGCCTGTTTTCCCGCCTTTTTTCTCTATTTCCTCTATAAAACCTGCTAAAACCGACGTAAAAGTGATGCTACTAGATATCACAACATCTTATTTAATGATTCTGAAATAAATATCGGGTATAAAATCAAATTGTCTCGAAATTTGGACGGACGATATTATTGCCAGCTCCGAGCGCCGTGCAAGGTAGTGCCAACACACGGGACACCACGCTTGCTTACCAGGCGACTCCATTACGGAAGACCGCTACTCAACATTTTAAGACATATCGTCGATAAAACCTGCTAAAACCGACCTAAAAGTGATGCTACTAGATGTCACAACATTTCAAATAATGATTCTGAGGTAAATATCGGGTGGAAAATCAAATTGTCTCGTAATTTTGACGGACGCAAGTGCGCCGCACAATGCTTTGCCAACACACGGGGCAACGCGCCCGTTTCACCGGGACACCTCCTACGTGAGACCGCTACTCAACATTTCTCAACATTTTCCCGATAAAATGTGCTAAAACTAAGCTGAAAGTGATACTACTAGATGTCACAACATTTTATCTGAAGATTCTGAGGTAAACATTCGGTGGAAAATTAATTCTTCTTCGAATTTTGACAGACAATACTCATTTCAGCGGTATGCAACTATATACTGATGGCTTTCGTTTCAAAGATTTCTGACAGAAAATGTAAAGAAATACAGAGAAAAGTTCAACCTTCACGATGCTTTGACCGTAATAACCAACGTCTTTGTAAAATAAGTACCATTTCATGAAAATTAAATTTCTGACAGAAAAATTTAGACATTCCTGTCACTGAGTAAGCAATTCTAAACCTGAAGTTGACGCCAAAGTTCCTGTCAGAAATGTCTTAAAAATAAGCGAAAATATGCCAGGACGCACAACAGATTGCTGTATGTACTCTATACCAGGTAATACATGGGTAAACCATGAAATTCTACGGCAGAAAATTATAAATTCTTACCTCAAATATAGCCGACGGCTGTGCTGCGCGGCTGTCACCTCCGGAATGTGAACTTTTCTGGCAATACAACGTGTATCCTGATTGGTGCGTCTAACGTGGATTCGTGATTGGTGTGTCGGAATTTGGACCATTACATTTTGCTATTGAGGTGAAATCAAATAGGCAATGTTTTTTACGTTCTTATCATTTGTCGGTAGTTTCAGAATATTTGACTTCAAATGCATACAAAAATTATATATTATTACATACTTCGGAGATAGTCTTTTCCTACCTTTGTCGGTCAAGAATGGAAAAAGGAAAGGAGAAACAGTACACCCCCCACCCGGCAGTCTGTTAATGTTTTAGCATTATGGCCTGTTCTACTTTGCGTTGGTGTGGGGTGAGATGTGTTAAAAACCATTTATAACAGAGCATTTTATGGACTTTTATAGAAAAACAATCATCATTTGTTCAGGCTTATTTGTCGGACCTCGGATGAACACGTTATAGCTCATTTCATATCGGTAGAGTGAGTCCATTCACTACCCCCCCCCCCCCAGCTTGCAATGGTCGGGCTCCCGCCACTCTGAGAAAGGGGGACGCTCCATTTTCTGTCAACAGGTGCACAAACTCACTGTCGGGGACGATTCAGTAACTATCTGGGGGATCTTTTCAAGGCCGGTTCTGCAAATTGCCGCCTTCACAAGTTCAGTAATAAATAATATATCTCTATATATATATATGATTTCAATAACGTCAGCGGTCTCTGATGTAATTGTGTGCTGTAAATATTCCATGATGAATATTTTGGGAACTTTGCTGATAAGTTTTGGGAACTATATTTTTATAGGTTATATATGTATATAGTGTATGTTTTGGTTATAGTGATGACCATATAAAATAAATGAAGTCACTAGACAAAGTCTCTGAGACCTTCCCAGGCAAAACTATGACAATATCTAACTCATTTTGGTGACATCTTAGTAAGAAACTGTAATTAAATTGGAAGGATGGACCCGGGCTTTCCTGGAAATTGCACCTTTACGCTTCTTTCACCGTGACGATCAACGTCACTGTAAAATAAATACAACTTCGTGAAGGAATTTAGACATTCTTGGCATGGAATAAACAAGTTGTGGCAATACAGGTGTCATATTCATCATGGTAATTCCTCTTTATTACAGCAATAATAAAAGTAATAAAACTTGTTCTGATAAACGTTGTATTACTTGAAGCAAGAGCCATTTGCAATATCATAATCATCTTCATTATCAACATGGCAATAAGTGGCCAGGTTGGATGTACATGTACATGTTCTGCTAGCATCATTATTATCAATGTGTAGCTGCAAAAATACTAAACTATTTCCCAGCCTGTTTTCTGCACAAGCGTCAAGCTTAAGCATGCACAGATCACGTCACTTTACCTACATGTAGTCTTATTCACAGATAAAGGGCTTGCCATTGGACTACATACCAGAACTACAGCTAATGTATCTTCATACAAGGTTCAATACCAGGCGCACTTGTATTTCAGTATCATTTGCTGACAGTTTATCTGTACATGTGAACATATATTTATAGGTAATTCTTATCTGGCAAAACATAACTAAAATTTCATAAAGTTCATCGTATTGTAGAGTTACATTTACACCTGGTGCAACGATCAAACAATAATTAGAATCAAACTCATCACATCTTCAGGAAGATGGAAGAAAATACATGACCTGTACACTGCTGTGCTGGACCATCTGGGCATTACGTTAGCATTACTGAGGGATTGGAACAGATGCACCTCATTCCAACTTACCAACCAGCTGTAGAGTCTGTCGGCAGGAAAACATGGACATAAATTTGATACATGTACACAGAATTTTGCAAGTTCCTCCAACCTTTACTCTATGGAATCAATAATACTCACACATAGCGACAATTCTAAGATTTTTCTTTGCTACAGTTTCTTCCAAAGCTTCCATGTGTTGGGCTGCCATGGATATAAATTTGAACTGTTTTTCTGCAAAGCCATGTAGAGTCAACATCATTATCAGGTACAAATTTGAGCATTTAGCTTATAATCACTTTGAAAAGGAATGCATCACAAAAGGCTTAAAGACTTACTAAATGACAGAAAATACAAGATTCCAGCACAAAGATGTCAACAGCTGCCTTTGCAGCCATTCTATCCACATAATTATATCAAATGTCTTCTATGATTGCACCTTGCATTTATTTTATTGTCTTACCTACATTCTGGCTCAGACTTGCACCTTTCACTGATAAACATCGACGGGTCTTCAGAGCTTGTTTATTTAATGACGGACACATTACTCAAGTTACTCAGCTGGATAGATTTTGAAAACTTTCTGATGTTTCAAGTAGCACTCATTATATTTTATCACTGACAAAAAGCAGTGGATACTACTTGAAACATCTGACAATTTTCAGAATTTATCCAGTTTCTTGCTTGAGTAACTGAGTTCTTTTGATCTGCCGTGGATGTCTAACCTTCATGGACGAACAACACAATACAGAACAAGGCTGTTACATGCACATGTACATGTTATTTTCCATTACTGTGAAGTTTTGACTTAGTACATTTTTCCCCTTGTAGATTGCTCTGTACAATATGAATGGCCTCCACATGCTACAATGCAAAGCCTACGGCTGAGCTCAACAAGCCACAGCTAAAGTAGTGACTTTGGAACTATTCAGCTGTACTGAAGACTTCAGTATAAATCTGTAACAATCAAGTCTTCTGCATCACATTCAGTAACTGTTATTTCCTGCCATGTTGGAATCTGATTCCTTATTGATGTATTTGCTACTGTGTTGTTTTTCTGAGCTCAGCTCTGGAGACGAAACTAAGGACCAAACCTGAAGGCACTACATGCAAACTTACTCCCTGCAAAACAAGCTGGACACTTGGCCTGACTCAGGACCACGGAGATCAACAATTATCAGTGCTACTTCAGAATTCTGTGGACAGGTTTGAGAAGCAGTTCTTGTAACACTTAAGGAGTTTTCTGTTCCCTACATTATGTTCACATTCTAGTCTTTTATGTATAGTGCACATGAATGCTGCATTGTACAACAGTTAGTGCACGTAAATGCTGCATTGTACAAAATCCCCTTCTACTGTATAGTTCACAGCTCTGTTTCAGTGGCAATCATTATGGTTCAGCTGGCAGTAACTACTAGCTCTTCGCTCTGTCTTGGCTGTTTTTGTATCACGTTCCCTAACCCTGGTCTGCATAGGGGCTGAGCTGTTCCCTGTGTGAGCCTTAGAGTGGTTTGAAGTTGGTGTCGAGAGTTTTGAGCGCGGTGACACACTTGGTGAGGAGAGCGTAGGTGTCCCTGGCGGCCTTGACCTTGGCGTCTGCGTGTCGGACCAAACTGTCCTGGAATGTCAGAACCCGCTGGTGGTGGAAGGTCTTCAGCTGGAACCAAACACAACATTTGTGGACGAGCCCTACAAGCTAGGCTAGCTATTCTAACTTCAGCTGGAACCAAACACAACATTTGTGGACCAGCCCTACAAGCTAGGCTAGCTATTCTAACTTCAGCTGGAAACAATCACAACATTTGTGGACGAGCCCTACAAGCCAGGCTAGCTACTCGAACTTCAGCTGGAACCAAACACAACATTTGTGGACAAGCCCTGCAAGCTAGGCTAGCTACTCTAACTTCAGCTGGAACCAAACACATTTGTGGACGAGCCCTGCAAGCTAGGCTAGCTACTCTAACTTCAGCTGGAACCCAAACACAACATTTGTGGACCAGCCCTACAAGCTAGCTATTCTTTATTCTTACTACGGGTAACCCTACAAGCTAGGCTAGCTATATAGGCTCAGTATTCTAACTAGCATGCATGATTTCTGTAACCTCATTTTCAGCTGTACATTGTACCATACAAGCAAATCTGCGAGAGTTAACTTGGAGCTAACTGTAAGTAATAATTACAAAATATGCTGTAATTACCTGACATGAAACATGCTGCTGGTAAGTTTTGTCTAATAATTCAGACTGGGAGTTCACAACAAAATGTAACTGTGTTGAAGATTCCAACTTACTTCTTTCTCTGCCACCTTAGAGATGTCTTCAAACTCCTTCTCAGCCTTGTCCCTGGCTGCCTCAGCCTACATACACAGATATACAGTACACTTACAGTATCAATATGTACACACACAGATATACAGTACACTGTCATTCATTTACAGTATCAATATACATGTACATGTACACACACAGATATACAGTACACTGTCATTCACGTACAGTATCAATATATATGTACATGTACACACACAGGTATACAGTATCAATATACATGTGCACACACAGATATACAGTACACTGTCATTCACGTACAGTATCAATATACATGTACAGACACAGATATACAGTACACTGTCAACATACACACACAGCTCATAGCACAGGCATACACAGCTCTAACTCCTCAGCCTTGTCCCTGCCTCTGCCTACACACACACATGTACATGTACATGTATACAGCAAACTTTTGTTATAACATCTCATGTGCACAGTACACAAGCCACATGTTGTACATGTATGTCAGGCGTCTCTTTATTTTTGGGTACTGCCCAACATGTTAACAGCTAGAACTGTTTACCATCAGGGAATCATATTTCTGCCTGACAGATATTAGTTTCATTTTCAAAATCAGTATCAGCTTCATTTTCAAAATCCAATTTTGACATCCTGTTGTTTAACCCTTGGAAGATGGAGAACAACAGACACTAAACCGGACACTAAATCTCATGACAGCACAACTCCTACCATTTCTCTTTTCTGTGGCTTGGCTTTCTCCACAGCTTTTGAGGCTGCTTCAAATTCCATCATCTTACACGTTCTCCTGTATAGCATTTCCTGAGAGGGTAAAAATTATCAGTCATTGCACTGATTAACCTGAGCTGCAATTCACTTTACGATCAGAAGGTGGCACTTATAACAGCTATGGATAATTACATGTTCCCCTGTAGTCTGTCCAGCATTTTCTGTGGTCAGGAAAAGTCCTCAGTTTGTGATAAACATTACTGCGGTTCACTTTATGGTCACAAGGTGGCACTTCTACACTTCTAATTCAAGTACAGAATAATGTGCAGCATTCTTGTTCTCATACATGTACTTTTATAGATGGAGGAAAAAATGCAACATTTAGATATACTTATTACAATAAGCAAAACTTTAAAACCTACTTACTCTTCATTTCGCACAGGGTAACAACATATTCACACTTAAAAGTAATAAAAAAGCAACATAATTTCGTTTTAAACTTAGTTCCCTGCTTAGTTCATGATTCAAATGTGTTCCGGTTTGGCCACGATCCGAATCGAAACGGAATATATTTTTGCGTCCGTGATTCAAAACTTGCACCCACACTAGAAACGGTTTCACACCTCGAATTGACTTGCATTTCATATGTATATCACAATTTCTTTGAACATTTCCTGGGAACCCGGCTCGTAAGGCGGAGAGTTTACGCCTGTTCGGGCGAGTAGTCGCTCGTTTCCGACTCATGGCCTTCCCATAAACTGTGCCCCGGACGTATCTGCCGCATAAACCCACGGTCCACCGCCCCAACGCCCCCGTTGGGCTACCACTCGCCCTCACGCCCAGGTTAGGTTCTGGTGCACACCATCCAGTTTCCTCCGTGCCTGATTTCCCCAAGTCAATATCGGAAGTCCCGTTTCCTCAGTCGACCATTAATTAGAACTTGATGTCAAGATTGTACGATTCAAGTAGAATTTTACGTAGTACAAACCACTGCAACGCGAACTATGGCCGACCGTGGCCCCCACATACCCGGGTGTACAGCGTCGAACCGGAGCGATTCGCATCCGCGCGTTCATGATTACAATTCTACGAATGCGGATCGTTCTGTATCGTTTCAGACCACCTCGCGAGGTGGTTCAGAATAAATCGCAACGGAACCGGTTTGGAGCGTTCATGTTACCAAATGAATCCATTTATTTTTTTAAATCGAATTGATTCGCAACAGATATCCAATCATGAACGGGGCCTTAAAGACACAAACTAGCACTTTACTGTTTCAGTGTTTATGAAGTTGTTTGATTCTGTACCCACCTTTTCTGCCTCGAGGTAGCGAGAATAAAGGTCTAGTGAGAAGCCGAGAGTGTTCTCATCATTCACTGCCATCACCTCTAACCCTTGCTGCAGGGGAACAAGGGAACAGGGTCATCAGGGAACAGGGTCATCAGGGAACAGGGTCAGCAGGGAACAGGGTCAGCAGGGAACAGGGTCATCAGGGAACAGGGTCAGCAGGGAACGGGGTCAGCAGGGAACAGGGTCATCAGGGAACAGGGTCATCAGGGAACAGGGTCATCAGGGAACAGGGTCAGCAGGGAGCAGGGTCAGCAGGGAACAGGGTCAGCAGGGAACAGGGTCAGCAGGGAACAGAGTCAGCAGGGAACAGGGTCAGCAGGGAACAGGGTCAGCAGGGAACAGGGTCAGCAGGGAACAGGGTCAGCAGGGAACAGGGTCAGCAGGGAGCAGGGTCAGCAGGGAACAGGGTCAGCAGGGAACAGGGTCAGCAGGGAACAGGGTCAGCAGGGAGCAGGGTCAGCAGGGAACAGGGTCATTCACAATTTATCCATAAGCTGCTATATAAAGATGACAGAAATACATGAATTTCAAACATTGTACATGTATGAATGAATAAACCAGTCTGCTTCTACATCAGATGCCCAAATCCAGGAAATGCTGCTCACCTTTGCATCTTCTAATCCTTCTGAAAACTGTGTGAAAAGTCTGTAAAAAGAACAAAAAATTATGTACTCTCAGTTTCATGGAAAAGTCTCCCTTTTCAGAATTAATGAAAAAGTAAAGCAAGGAAATACTGTTGTTACAATGATACATAATAACAGTGAGAACATATGAAACATCTTGCTTACTTGTTGATAACAGTGAGAACATATGAAACATCTTGCTTACTTGTTGATAACAGTGAGAACATATGAAACATCTTGCTTACTTGTTGATAACAGTGAGAACATATGAAACATCTTGCTTACTTGTTGATACATGATAACAGTGAGAACATATGAAACGTCTTGCTTACTTGTTGATAACAGTGAGAACATATGAAACATCTTGCTTACTTGTTGATAACAGTGAGAACATATGAAACATCTTGCTTACTTGTTGATGACAGTGAGAACATATAAAACATCTTGCTTACTTGTTGATAACAGTGAGAACATATAAAACATCTTGCTTACTTGTTGATAACAGTGAGAACATATAAAACATCTTGCTTACTTGTTGATAACAGTGAGAACATATGGTATGAAACTTACTTGTTGACTACTACATCGGCGCCCTCTTGCAGCTGCCCTCCTAAGTGCAGAGCTGTGGACAGATGGGACAGCCCAACAGCTACCCCTGCAGGGGACACAGTTTGATATACATGTACATGTAGTTTGTATTTCATAATAATTACTAAATAAATAAACATAACATAAAAGAACATTAAAAAAGTCCCCCCAAACACCTGGCATTAGGAGTTCTAGCCTGTGGCCATCTTTCCATCATTTGACAAAATTTTGCCAAATCTGTCAGCTTTGATAAAAATCGGGGTGTAAAGATATGGAAAGAGATTCCATTAAATAAACTATGCTTAGTCTACCAACAAAATCTGCTGCCCAAAATGCAGGAAATAGTGCTAGCATTTCAGCGGGTCAAGATTTGTGATATTACATCTGATTCAATCAAAATTTGAAGCTGGTTAGAACACTGATTATGAGTGCCCTTACCATAATACAAACACATCACACTGATCACAAAAAATGTCTACTCACTCTGTTCTCCATAGACTATCTTCATATAATTCTGAAAATAAGAAAAGATGTTAAAGATCCTTCATCACAGAGCATATGTCCTACATGTATGAAATAGTGTGACATAAAATGATGCATTTGCTTTGCAAATAATAATTAATGTTACCTAGTCTTACATGTATATATGTGTAATTATAGTCGTTCACTAAATATTTCCTGAATGTCATGCATGTCTCAGTAAGACTCACCTCTTTTGCTTCCTTCATTAGTAGAGAAACTTCGTTAACAGAGTCTCTTTCCTTCTGGAAAAACTCGTTTACATCCTGAAACAGACACAGGAGACACGTGATCCACTGGATCCAGATCTACTGACAGATTCTTGGATCATCTTTTACTACCATCAATCACTACCATATACATGTACAGGCTCATCAATAAAATGCCATTACGACCTAAACATTTTTGTGGATAATATTTACAACTACTGTATGAGTAGCACTTGTCAATACTTCTTTCAAAGTTTTCTTCAAAATGTAATATATTTTCACTCTGTGCTAACGTTACATGTATTTTTGAACTTGAAAAAACATTTTGTCAAGAAACAATTTTCTTTGCAAGTACCAAAACCAAAGAAATGCCGCTCAAATGATATGCCACAAACATTTCTCATTGTGCAACCAATTCTCAGTCCAACTGCAGGCAACAATTGTTGTTCTTAATAAAGTATCTACAATACAAGGACTACTGTGTGAAGTTACCGGCATGTTCTTAGGAACCATCTACAGAGGCAGCAGGAGAGGGGAGAGAAATTAAGGAGTTAGCACAGACAACAGAGTCACAAACACAAACGTGTATCTGGTACAAGCAGTAAATGTGCAGTTACTATAAGCAGTAAGACATGGTGCTATGCCTAACTAACATACATGTAGCAGTACTAGTACATAACTAACAGAGGTGCCTAACTAACATACAACAGGTGGTCAAAAGTCAAGAAGTTAGGAGGGAAATATCAGTTCTTTTCTCAAACAAGAGAACCTGTAGGAATTACGTGTTGGCCAAATCAATAAAATGACTTTAGGAATTACAAATGTATGTATGTCAGCCATGCTGACTTTGAAATGACCCTTTAGGAGTTACATGTCTCACCTTGTGTCCCCCTTTTCTAGCCTCACACACATACATGTACATGTCTCACCTTGTGTCCCCCTTTTCTAGCCTCGCCCACGGCCTTTGACAGGTTACTGAAGATGCTTTTCTTCAACTTTGCTCG